TCAACATGAAGATCCCACACATCCCCCGTTTGGTCCTGCGATGTTGGGGGGCTTGGACGCAAAGAACTCGGCGACAAAATTCGCCAGGACTTGGCCCTTTATTGACGTTCGAGACTTGTACCTAATTTCAAATTTCTCGAGCTCTACAGCCCATTTGGCAACCCTCCTCGGACATATCGGCCCTGTGAAGGATCGGTTTGAGAGATCGGTCTGTAAGGACGTCTATGGCGTGAGCCTAGAAGTAGTGTCGAAGTTTTCTCGTCGAGACTACCAATGCCAAGATCGATTTCTCCATTGGAGAGTATCTTGTCTCGGCGTCAAGTAAGGTCTTGCTTATGAAATACACGGGTTTCTGTGCCTCTTCGCTATTCCTGACCAATGCTCCACTCACGGCGTCTTTAGATACGGACAAGTAAAGGCTCAGCACCTCCCCTGCAGCTGGGACAGATAAAGTTGGAGGATGTTTCAAGTACTCCATGATCCTTTCAAGAGCTTGACCGCATTCCTCGTTCCAAACCCCCTTAGCTGCTCCCCTTAACTTGGAAAAGAACAATTTGCACTTATCAGACGACTTAGAAATGAATCTATTGAGGGCTGCCAGCATCCCGGCCAATTTTTGAACGTCTTTAATAGTCCTAGGCGCCAGGATATTCTGAATTGCTTGTATCTGCTCGGGATTCGCCTCGATCCCCCGATGAGTGACCAAATACCCCAAAAACTTTTCAGAGCTCACTCCAAAGGCACATTTTGAGGGGTTAACTTTTAGGCCATATTCCCGGAGGATGGCAAACGTCGTCCCAAGATGGTCTGCCTCCTCTTTGCTTTTGACTAACATGTCATCAATGTATACCTCCATTGTTTTGCCGAGCAGGTCTTTGAAAATTTTGTTCATCAATCGTTGGTAAGTCGCCCCAACATTCTTCAACCCAAACGACATTACCGTGTAACAGTAGATTCCCCGGGGCGTGATGAACACCGTTTTCTCCTAATGTGATTCATGCAAGGGGATCTGGTGATATCCAACCCGAGCATCCATGAAGGTGATGCGTCTGTGGTCGGCTGCGGCGTCTACCAGCTGATCAACTTTAGGTAAGGGGTACTCGTCCTTGGGGCAAGCTTTGTTTAGGTCCGTGAAATCCATGCAAACTCGTCATTTCCCTTCTTTCTTCTTGGCGCACACTGTATTGGATAGCCATTGGGGGAATTGTACTTCCTTGATGGAACCTGCCTCCAACAATTTCACTACCTCTTCATCCACAGCCTTCACATGATGGGACACCGTTCTCTGGGCCTTTTGCCTAACGGGTTTGAATGAGGGATTCACATGGAGCCGATGAGTCATGACCTCGACACTTATCCCCGTGATCTTGGCTTGGGTCCAAGTAAAGACATCGATATTGTGGCATAAAAATGAGATCATATCATTTCTTTCGGTGCTGTTGAGCGATTCTCCTATCAAGAAGTATTTTTCGTCGTTATCCGGGCTCAGGAGAATCTTCACCAAGGCCTCAGTAGACTGGTCGACTGGCTCCATGATGGGCTTGTCCACCCCCGGACGACCGTTCTGTGATTGCTATTTGGCAAACACTACGTCGGATCACGCTCCTGACACCGGACGCTGATTCTCGTTTTCACCGCGGCATAGAAGCAGTTTTTCGCCGAGGCCTGATCACCCCGGATCTCCATTACGCCTTGCGGCGTTGGGAACTTTACCTTCTGGTGATAAGATGAGTGGACCGCCTTTATTACATACAACCACAATCTCCCCATAATAGCATTGTAAGGGAAGTCGGAGTCTACCACCACAAATTTCACTAGCGTGGTCACCACCCTCGCCCGTACCATGAGAGTGATTTTTCCAAGGGGTAAGACGCTGGAACCGTCGAAGCCGATGAGAGGGGTTTTTACGGGTTCCAGATCCTTCTGAAAGAGTCCCATCTTGCGGAAGAGGTGATCGTACATTATCTCAGAGGAGCTGCCCAAGTCCACCAATATCCTCTTAACGTCGAACTTCTCGATCTGCAACGTGATCACCAATGCATCCTCGTGGGGAATGACAACACCATTGAGATCGGCATCTAAAAATTGGATAACCTCGGCACCGTTCCGTGGTCTTTTGGGATGCCGCTCATCCCCCCTTTCATCCACCCTGACTGTTTGAGCAACCTTTTGTAACTCGGCGCGGAGGGAGTTGTATGTTGGCTTCTCCATTGTGCAGGCATGGATAAGGTCAATCATGGGTGCTACCTCAACTGGCACCTCGGGTCGCTCCCTCATTGACCCACCGGGACAGGCCCTGTCGAAGAATTCCCCGAGGTGTCCGTCTCACACCAATTGTTCGAGGAAGGATTTATAAGTCTTGTAATCCTCCGTCAAATGGCCGACATCTCTATGATATGAACATCGGAAGGCCGCATTCCTTGTCGACGGGTCTCCAAACATCCTCGGGGGCCACCTGAAATAGGGTCTATTTTTTATCTTGGGGAGTATCCTGTGAATGAGCTCATTGAATATCGTGTTCACTCCCTGGAAGGATAGGTGAGTTGGGGTTGGAATAGGCCCTCCCCTTTGGGACGGCTGCTCCCTATCCCTTTTTCTTGGAATCGTGGCCCTGCTTTCGGGCGTGGCGGACTCTTCTTCCACCCGGGTATATTTGTTAATCCGAGCCATCAAATCTTTCATGTTCGTCGGGGCCTTTTTGGTCAGCAATTTGTATAAGTCAGTGTCTCAGGCCAGCCCCATCCTAAATGATGCCGTGGCTAATGCCTCCGAACATGCCTCCACCTCATTCACCTTATCCCAATATCGAACGACATATTGTCGGAGTGTTTCTCCCCTTTTTCGCCTGAGCGTCAACAGAGCACCAATGTCCTTTGATTTTTTACTACTGGTGATGAATCGAGCCAGGAAGATCTATGTCAGTTGCCTCTAGGACCCAACACTCTCGGGAGCAAGGCTCTCATACCACCTCATACCGGTGTCCCCTAAGCTCATGGGAAAAATTCAGTACAATACCCTTTGGTCAGTATCGTAGATTGACATCAATTGCCTGTACTGCTGAAGGTGGCTCTCGGGGTCGGTTTTTCCATCATAGACTTTGAACCGTGGGACGGTAAACTTTTTTGGCATCTCGGCCTCCCTTATAGTCCGGACGAACAGCGAGATAACTTTGTCGGAGTAGACCGCGGGTTCATGGTTACGCTGACCGATGAAGGAAACCCGTGGGTCCTTGGTGTCTCTCTCCTCTTGAGGCCTTCGGGGCATGGACTCCGTTTGAGATTCGGCGGCTCCAACGCTCTCTAGTATCCCTCGGCGCAGGTCCCACCTGGACATACCTGCCTTCTGGCCCAATTTTGACTTTTCCTTGGAGGCTGACAACACTCCTCGGCGGTCACGTCCATCGGGCGAGTGCCTTATCCAATCCTTCTTGGGGGGCCATCGCCAGGCGGGTCTGTATAAGTTCTGGCTGGACACCTGGTCCCCGACCCCGCGACTATGCTCGCCTGCGGTTGTTGACTGCTCGATATCGTCAAGAAGTTGCTAAACTTTGGCGTTTTTCCTTTCGAGCTGCTTAATACGCTTGCTCATCCACTTTTCCACTATCTCCACGATGTCATGGATCATGAGGTCACGTCCCCCAAGGTCCTTATCGATAGGGAGCGTTCTTTGTGACGAATGCCCCGCCCCGTCTGATTGGCTTAATGAACCGACTCCAGAACCATTGGAAGCCGAAAGAGCTCTATGTTCCTAGCCCGTACACCTACTCCCTCACCCCTGAGATCTAGTGTTCACCATCAGAGGATCGCTACCGGAAGAAATGCTTTCGTTCCCACAGACGGCGCCAAATTGCACGGGAAGATTCCTGCAATCGTGTGAGGCGGCGATCTCCCAATTAGCGAACCTGGAACAACAGGGTCAGAAAAAAGGGGGCCAGGTGTGTGCCCAGCTATTCCCCTTCGAAGCTTAAGTCAGTAAAAGATCGAAGGGTTTTGCTTAATGGACTTTTTCTGGTTTGAGTTTGCGTACCTTTTTCCATTTTTCTAAGGGATATTTATACCTGAATTAGCAATGATTGCCAAAGATCTTCAGTCCCATCAGGACATCTTCATATCTGACACACCATTCCTCGTGTAGTGAATGTTTCCTATTCATGTCTTCTCCTATTGAATGCTAGGAAAATGAGGTAACAGCTCGGCCATTCGCCGAGCACTTATGCCACTCCCCGAACAACCAAATCCATCAGGTCGGCATCTGACACCGACCAAGCATTGACTTCTTGACAGAACAGTTCCTCGGGAGATCTGATGCGTCGTCTCGACATATCAGTCATTAATGTTTAACCATTATTACAGTAGGTTTAGATTCCCAGAGGGCAGTCGCCTGCAGACATGCATTTATTTGCTCTGTCACGATCACTCATTCTGCCATAAATGTGAGGTCACATCGCATTAAATACGACACCAGCTATCGTACTCGGCCGCTTCGTGTCACTATACCTCGGCTTACCTATTCGGCATTTTTTGGTCATCCCGACAGCTTCGTTGTTCCATGTGTCAACCCAGAGGCTGAAGAGCTGCACTGGAGTCCCACCAATATATATATATATATCACAATGCAATGTAAATGATAAATGATGTATTTAAAGGAGAGAAATTTAGTGTAAATGATTATAAGAGAGATGTTGGTGACTGTTAGATGAAACTATTTGATATTGTCCAATAAACTTATTAAAATCTGTCTTATTTTATATTAAAGTTATTTTTTTTTGGCTTCAAATATTTGAAATAGTCGAAATGTCTGCTCGTGACTTGTGACCCGACCCGTATGTAATATGATTAGAGTAATTACCGGAACTCTCATCGCCTGTCTATGTTGACGTGGGGCTTATCACGTGCAGTAAGTACTTGGCAGGACCCGCCAACTGACCAAGATGGGAAGGAGAGAGAAAGTCGTGCTCTCGCGTCTCGTCTCAACGAATCAGATTCTCTCTCTCTCTCTCTCTCTCTCTCTCTCTCGTCAAAGCCGCCTCAGTTTCATCGATTTTTTCACCTGTCGTCATTATAATCGTCGGCTCTTTTCAACTCCCTCTCTCCCTCTCTCTCTCTCGCACAATAGTTGTTCATTTTTAGTCTTTTGGGGTATGATTCCTCTGGTAAGACACCCAGATTTCAGAATTTTCTACATTCTTTATATATATATATATATTTCTCGTCTGATATTTCTGATGCAGAATCTATTGATGTTTAGTTTGTGTTGCGTATGTGTATGGTTGTTACTTGTATGTTTTGCTTTAATTGATTTTTTTTTTATTACAGGAGCTACATTTTGAGTCAAATGGTGCTGTCAATCTGTTCAAATTTCCTCGAAGCCTTGTGTAATTGCGTTTAAGTGGTACCTAATACCCTCGATCTTGCAATTTGCTGATTCTAAGAGATGAATTGTTTCATGTTTTGTTGATTGGGTTCTTGGAATCTTGTTATACAATTGAAATCAAAAGAAGCTGAATCCTGTTGATTGAATTTTGACCTATTTTTTAAATAGAAGTGTGGAAAAAATTGATCTCGAATGTTGCTTCGCTACTTGATTAGAGTTGGTATGTTGGAATTTTTTAAAAATTTGGCTGTTTGATTTCTGGGTTTTACGAATCCTCGAGTATCCTATGATTTATATGAGAGGAGCTAGATGATAGACCTAATTCCTTCATGACCTGTATCTCGGTGAGGATTTTTCCATTTGGGTCTTGACATTTGTAGTGCTCGGATTGAATTTGGTAGCCAATAGCATTCTTGCAGCTTTTATGGGTTGAATTTTTGGTTTGGTATGGAGTGTCTTCCTGTTGAAGTCATTGGAAACATACTATCTCGTCTTGGGGCTGCCAGAGATGTTGTGATTGCATCTACTACTTGCCGAAAATGGCGAGAGGCTTGGCAGGATCACCTCCACACACTTACGTTCAATTCCAACGACTGGCCTGTATATCATGAGATGACAACTAGCAGACTTGAGATTCTTATTACTCAAACAATATTTCAAACCCGTGGACTGCAGTGCCTGTCGATTGTTATGGATGATGTTGATGAATTTTCTGCTGCTCCAGTGATTGCTTGGCTCATGTATACCAGAGAAACCTTGCGCAAACTGTATTATAATGTAAGGACGACTCCAAACATCAATATTCTTGACAAGTGTAGTCGACAGAAATTGGAAATGTTGGAATTAGCTCATAATACTGTCACGGGTGTTGAACCCAGTTATCAGAAATTTCCCTGCTTGAGATCTCTTTCTCTGAGTTATGTCAGTATCTCAGCATTGGATTTGAGTCTTTTGCTTACTGCCTGCCCAAAAATTGAGGTCCTAACCCTTACCAGTCTGGATATTGCCATGTCAGATACACAGGCAACTATGGAATTATGTAGTGTGTCATTGAAGGATATATATGTTGAAGCGATTAGTTTGGACAAGCTCATGTTGGAGGCTGATAGCATTGAGAAGCTGCATTTAAAAGACTGTACTCTTGAGGTTTTTGAGCTTGTGGGCAAGGGTACATTGAGGCTTCTCAGAATTGATGATGTCAGTGTCATCCATCTGGACATTGGTGAGAGTACTGAAAATCTTGAGGTGGTGGATGTTAGCAATTTCACGATCATGTGGGCTAAGTTTCACCATATGATTTCAAGAGCCTCAAAATTGAGAAGGCTTCGGCTTTGGGGTGTTGTGTTTGATGATGATGATGAGATAGTGGATATGGAGACCATTTCTGCATGCTTCCCTTTGTTGAGCCATCTGTCCTTAAGTTACGATCTTAGAGATGGAGCACTTCAGTATGGCTTGCAAGGTTCATTTCAATTGGAGAATGTGGTTGTCTTGGAACTTGGGTGGACAGTGATTAATGATCTGTTCTCGAATTGGGTTGCAGGACTTTTAGAAAGGTGCCCTAATCTCAGGAAGTTAGTTATTTATGGGGTTGTTTCGGAGGCCAAAACCCATGAAGATTGTCATATGTTAGCCACCTTTACCTCATCCATTGTGAGGCTCATGAGGAAGTACTTGCATGTAGAGGTTCATTTTGATTTTGAATAGAAGTTATGCAAGATGCCTGTGTGGGAGTTCTGATTTGGTTCAGGTACGAAAGTATGTATATAACACTCATCGAAGACTGTGGTCATACATCTTTTTGCCTTTTTCCTTTTATTCATTCTTCCCCTCTCCGGATGAGTTTTGGACTTCGAGCAATTGTACATTTATCCTATTCTTTGTGTACTAGTGCATGTTGTGCTTCCATTTCCTTGTATCTTTTTCCTTCATGGGTTATGCCTCTTGTTTGCATTATTTCTTAGTGGAGTTTTCATATTAAAGATCTCTTCTTCTTCTTCTTCTTCTTCTTCTTCTTCTTCTTGTACTTTGCATTTTCCCAACCTTATTTAGTAAACAATGGTCATTTATATGGCAGGAAACGTTCTTTAGTCAATATTGTTTTTTTGTTTTCTTCATGCAGACACCATTTAGATGCTTTCTATAATGTTAGTTGTGATTCTGATTATCTATCATTGTATTATCCGATCTATTTTTTACAATTCTCAGTCCTGTCACAGTTGTATATCTGGCTAGATCAGGAATGATAAAAAATAAGGTTTTAATTAGTTGTAGATTCACATCTGGATGCGATAAATTTAGTGGAAAAATAATCCAGAAAATGGTGTTGTTACGTCTTTTGGTAGAGAACCATTTTCTTTTGCAGATTTTCTGATGGCTTGAGCTTAGAGATAAAATAACTGCCCATCTTATCTAGATTGGCAAATGCTGTTTGATCATGTGCTTATGTTGAGCACATATCTCACAGTTCCCGCTTCCTATCTCAACAAATATGTTCTTGATGATAATAAGTTATGTTTGCGAAAAACGAATGTGCTATTTAAGTTTTCACCCTCTTGCTTCTCCCTTCTTTTTTGCTGCCCGTTTTCTTGCAAGTAACCAGATTGTTTGGTTCTGCACTTAACTGTGACCTATCTACCTACTTTTGTTTGTTGCAGATATATTTTACCAAATTTAAGAATAATATCATATTACCTGGGCTATCGTGTTGATTTCACTCTATTGATAAGTAATGTTTTGCTTTCACTATTCTGTTGGGGCTTATTTGCGCATATCCGTGAGCTTGTGTAGTAGCACTATCAACACTTTACGTGGGATTGCAGTCTTGAAATTTGTCTTCTTGGTGCTCCAAAAATGCGACAAAGCTGGATGAATTGATGCACACACAAGGTAAAACGTATAGGGATGAGGATTTTGTTTTTGAAAAAACAATTAAGAAAAATTCCTGAGGCGTTGGGAAATAAAATACAGACACACAAACCCGAGTTCTAAAATGAATCCTGATATAGATCAATGCTTGAGGGTTGTTGAAGTTGTAGAACCTGTTTTACAAATCTCTAATACAATATCTATGGTTCTTTTTAGTGGTAGTCTTTACTGCAGGAAGTGTTGGAAGCACTGATGCTCCAGCATGGTGGTGAATTGGGGTCTTTCATGCTGGAAAGTCGGGGGATTATTTAGATCATCACATGTTGTTAGAGGTGCATAGCACTCTGATAGGAACTAATTAGTGAACCTTTGATGTTTAAAAACTCCAGAAACCCACACATACCCCCCCCCCCCCTCCTCCCCCCTTACCTCGACTGTGGCACCCCTCATTGATGGCCGAGTTTAGGCTGCGTTTGAGAAAACATCACATCTGATCTACCTAATTAATGTTTGAGACATGTGGCTCGTGGTGAGCGACAACCGATATCACTGAAGTAGGAGCAGGTGTCGGTTCATCGCTGACCCTCGTACAAAGGTAGGGGCGAAGCATCCCAGGGCTAACTTGACTTACCCTAGTACTGTCCTATAAATACCTCCAACACTTTCCCTTGTAGTACACACTTCTATATAGTCTGAGATAGACATCTTGGTTAGTGAGAACATTTACCCTCCCCATCTACCCATGAAACCTTTTGCACATTGGTTGATCCTTTTATTAATAGGCAAGTCAAGTCATTTCATTCCATTCACTTATTTTCCTCACCATTTTGAGTACACTAAGATAGATGCGTGTGTTAATCTCTTTTAACTTCTTACCTATATAACATTTTAACTCATTTTTTTATTCGATGTGAAATTTTACACGTGCAATACAAAAAAATGATAAATGTATCCAACTAAAATATATTATTTTTGATATTGTGGGTTCTTGTTGAGAACTTTCGAAGTGATAGCTGCATCAACTGTGTAGCTCTTCCATGAATCCTGGCTGTTCAACATTCGCTTTAAGTCCTTAAGAACCACCCAACTTGGGGCACAAGTCTTTTTTGTCCACCTAACTCCCTTGGGGTGGCAATCATATTGTGTCAATTGTATTCGTGTCGAATTAATTATATTTGTAAATCACACAATTCTCAATGTAAAAGTATGTTTGTAAAATACAATTTTATCAGAAACTATGAAAGAGTATTTTACAATCACACTTTTATATTGAAAAGGGTTTATAGTTGAGAAAAAAGATATTTACGGGGGAGCAAAGTTAAAAGCTTATAGCAGGGTTTGATCATTCATTGATCCCGACAATATCTAAATAGGGCCTTATTGACATCAAAATCATAAGAAAGCCATGTACCACATCTAGTCTTCAAATATAAAAGCATTCAACTTCGTAGAATGAGTGGGATTAGCCTTACTAAGGGTGTGAGTTCCTACTCTAGGCTATCAATATTTAGTTTAACAACTTTCACTAACGCTTGGCTAGTTACCGAAACCCAACAAGATTCTCTGCACTTGGGCTTAAAGGGTCTCCTTAAAAGCGGCTAGAAGTTCAAACCTAAGAAGGTGAGTAGTTGATACGAGTTTATTGAGCGCATCACTTTTCCTAGAGTGAGTAATAGTGGAGTTTACTATGCGAGCCTAAATGCGAGTTTCACTAACTGTACCCACCACTGCCTTGGGCTGACTGGTGGGTGGGTAAGGAGAGAACCATTACAAAGTTTTACTCTACCTCAGAGCAAAGCCAACCCTCCAGAGCAAAGTTGCTGAATTTATTGATGAGATAATTGGAGTCTCCAAGCCACAGGTATGATTCTTCACCAAAACTTAATACTTGATATTATGCATACCCATATCCCCAAATACGTGGCCTTGCAAGATAAATCCAACTCGGGTTTCAACAGTATTGGTAAGTTTACCACTAAATCAGTATACAATGCCTTAGTCAGTGACCATATCTCCCAACTTAACTGGGAATGGATATGGAAGCTGGAGGTTCCTCATAAACTCAAGCATTTCATTTGGCTAGTTCAACGTGATAGAATCCTGTCAAATGAACTAAGGGCTAGGAGGAACATGATTAGAGAAACAACATGCACCAGATGTAACTCCATGGGTGAAACAACTGTGCATATCCTTAGGGACTGCCCCAAAGCTCAAAAAGTCTGCAGTGTTCTGCACAGTTGGTTGTATATGAATTACAAGACAAGGAAAAAGAGAACATGAAGAGAAATCAAGGACCGATAACCGAACTAAGTTTTGTAAGCTCGAACCGAGCTTGTTGAACTTGTTTTTTTAAACGAGTTTAAAAAATTATTTAAGTTCGGCTCATTTTCTAAATGAGTCAAGCCTGAGCTTAGCTCAAAAAGAACTGAGTCGAATAGCTCGACTATTTTACGTATAAATAAGTTAGAGTTTTGCGAACTCGAGCCGAGTCTTTTAAGCTTGTATTCTAAACGAATTTAAAAAATTGTTCAACCACGACTCGTTTAGAACAAAAGCCGAGCTAAAGTCAACTCTTATCCGAATAGCTTAGCTCAATTATTAGCTATATAGAGATCCCTTGGCCTTTAATTTTCACCTTTACTGTCTAGAATATCTGGAAGGACAAAAACAAAGAATGTATAGCTAACAACATTGTTACCGAATATCATATGGTGGCTAAGAATGCATGGCTATTGGCTATTGAGAATGAACAAGTATTCCAAAATCCCACCTAGTCTGAAAATGATCTTACTGGCCACTGAACTCATCCCTATTTTATATTTTTTAAAAACATGATTGAATCCAGAAGAGTTAGCTGGGGGAAGTCGCAGCTTGAAGCTACTACTATAATTATGTTTATTTATGTTGTATTTGAGCATGTTTTGATCATGTTATATATATTCAGGATATAGTTTAATGGGCTAATAATAATATAAGAAAAGTTATTGTGTGTTATAGATGGTTTAATCTTTAATCACGCCCGATTAGTTTGAGAAAAAAATTGGGGTGTGACAATTATGTCGGACATAATTTTGCTAACATAATGGATTAGTGACATGATCTAATAGTGTTATTCTGAGTTTAATTGTTAGACTTTTTAACGGGTCAATGTTATTTGGATCTAACTGTGAGTTCTTATATTTATTGACATTCACTGCTAATTTAATAATTGTAATTGATTTTTCACACCTATTCGCATTCTTTACGATATGATATTAAGTGTAAATTCCACCACCAATAGTCCTTGAAGTTTACCACTTGTTGAACTTTAGTCCTTAAACTTTTAATTTCGTCAATTTAATCCTCAAATTTCATTCATTACACTATAATAGTCATTCACACTAACTTCCGTCTAAATCATTAACCAAAAATGACAAATGCCAAGTCTATGACCAATATAAAGGGTAATTACATGTCCAAACATCCACAAAATCAACTTTCTCTCTCTCTCTCTCTCTCTCTCTCTCTCTCTCTCCACACAACACAACACTCACCAAACCCAATAACACAAACACCACACACACACACACACACACACACACACACACACACACACACACTGTGTCTCTCTCTTTCCCGGTCTCACCAAACCCAGCAAGCAACACATACCCATAGATACACCAACGCATAACACCTAGTCAAAATCTACACCCAATCAAAACCAAAGCCTATATACTGAATTCAACATCTACACCCTGTCACACACACCATACATCACCAACGCATAACATCCAGTCAACACATTCAAAATCCATATTAAATCAGCAGTCAAAATCAAAACTGAATTCAAAATCTAATTCGAAATTGAGATTAAAATCAAATCTAAAACTGAAGTGATCGATGGTTCGATGAGGGTAGAAATAGAGAAACTTGTGGAGGAGGGTGTCAGCCTACTCATGGTGGAAAATGGATTCGTTTGGTGGTGGTGGTGAAGGCTGGAGTTGGCATGGGCCGGGCGATGATGATGGGTACTAGACAGTGTTTGTGTGTGTATGTGTGAGACAGAGAGAGAGAGAGGGAGAGAACCATTGGAGGGAGTAAGGAGTTGGTTGTGGTGGTAGGCACACACACGGACGATTCGACAATAGGTAGATGAGCAGGGCTAATATAGATAGGGTAAAATCTATCTTCATTTCGCATTATGGTTTTATTTCAAAGGCGGTTTTATAAATTTTTCAAAGACAGAGACTAGACTTGACGTCCCTTGCTGCTGTTATGGAACTTAAAAGACTTACGCTCACACACTTTCAAGCAGTAAACATCTAAACATGAGATCAGCTAGCTACAAGAGCATACAAACTTTAAGTTTTTAGTAAAACAAAAGATCGAAAATTGTTCTATAACTTAAAACCAAAGATGACACTACCGATTATCCTTCTATCTCTCATGGTAGTCTTGAAAAGTCTCTGGATCCTCACCGCGCCCTACTCACGCCACTGGCATCAATTTAATACGGGCAGCTTAAATTCCTTCTCATCCCCCTCAATTTCTCTTTGGCTTTTTGAGCTTTGGTTTGGGCTTTCATTTTCACTTCCTCAGAGTACTGCATAATGGCAAAGCAAAACAAACCATTGGATAAATATTTCATAAGTTTATGCAATGCATGACAAGTTAATTTCACAGGAACGAGACACTGGCTTAACATGAATGTGTATATGGACACACCCTTTCAGATGGAATTGTGCCATCTAGTGCCATCACAGCAGCAAAATTTCCTATTTTACGCGTTGGAGTCGAAGAAAATCCAAACATGATCATGTCATTAAACCAACAATCACTTCCGGAAAAAAAAGAAGACTAAAGGTACATAAGAACTTGCAATCCCCCTTGACTCTTATGCTATTTAGAATTCGTGAATTAAATGACTGAGAGAAGTAGGAATTCCAGATCGAAGAAGATACAAATAAAAAATGTGGGACAAGAAAACCCAAATTGAAATGAATGGGCTAGAACTTTTCTTCCGTGATCAGTCGAGGGAACAACCACAACGTTAGTACGTTACACCCCACAAAAAGACTATGGGAAGCCCCTGCAAAACCACCAATAATATATTCTACTACACTAGCCAAGAAAGACTCATAGATTATATTTGCTCACGGAGGTGAGCGGACAACACAAGCACCATTTTACTTGAGATGTGTTCTTCTGTAAGTCAAGGCCTTCTGTTTTTAAGGAAAGTACTTATTCACTCATCAAAATTTGCAAATTGTCAATAAATCCAAGCAAAGGGTACATATATACATGGTCATGAACCCTGAGCCCATGTGGTGGAAACATGATGAAACAACTCCAAGTGAAGATCATGAATTTTTGGAAAAAGATTTTAGGTTTAAGGATTACTATGGTTTACCTGTTGTTTTCTTTTCCTCTCAAGCTCTGCCTGTTTAGGGTTAGAGAACAAATCATGAGAGACTATTGACAAAGGCTTATAAATGAAAGCAAATGATCTCTGTGTTCAACAAATTAAAACTTGTACTCACTGTTAAAAGATTTTCCATAATTACCAGAGCCTGTTTCAATTGAGCATTCTCTTCTTTTAACTGATTCAACTCTGCTTCCAGTTCAACTGTGTAAGCCTGTCAATTCAAAAATATAAACTTGAAACATGGTAGCATCAGTCAAAAACCTAGAATCCAAGATAAAAATCTCGAAAATTCACACACATTTCAAAGCATTCTTCATTTGATAGAGAGAAAAAGTTGCTGTAAATCCAAAAAAGTGAGAAAAGCTAATGGAAATAAGAACGTTACTCTTACCAATTGGGTTGTGAGAAAAGTATCCATTTCAAGTCTCGTATTGTCACACATTATTGTTTGTAAATTAGGAGACATTGTTACATGAGTAACATACACCACGTGGACTTGCCCACGTGATGTGTGTACCAATAAGATACGACTGCCTCCTAGCATTCTTGTCAGACCCAAAGCCAACACATTAAGGAAAGGCAGTGGATTGGGACGGGGGTGGAGGGAGTAGTTTTCATTCCCATACACGCTTAAAAAAAGTTCATCCATCCCCGTTCTATCCCGTTAGTGGAGGAAGTTTTAAACCCCATCCCCGCTCCGCAGGTAAATTCTAATTCCTGTCTCCACCCCGCCCCCACCACGGGTTCTCCAATAGTGAATCACTACAAAGCACCCATTGAATCATGCTCGAGAAGCTTCTGCCTTTCAAATAAATTTAAGGGTAAGTTACATAAAGCCACCCTGAACTTAAGGTTAGTTGCACATCACTTCCCTCAACAATTACGAGTTGTACTTAACCCCCTCTTACTTGTGAATAAAGTGAAAATTTAACATAATCTGTTTATTGTAACGGTGCCACTATTACACACTCATTATGCGTGTGTTATGAAATAAATAATTTCTTTCCTAAGTTAAGAAGTGATATTGCCAATTTTACCCTTCTTCCAAATTTTTAACCCCTATCTTTCTGCAACCCCTTCATCGACACAACCCACACCACCATTGCAACTCCCCTATTCTTCTTCCTTTCTAACCCCACAACTGCTACAACCCCCCCCCCCACCCAAACAACTCACGTTGTTGTAACTCCCCCACTTAACCCTCCCCACGCCGATACGACTCACCCACTTAACCCACCCATAGCCGCAACGACTCTCCCACCCAAACCCTCCCAATGTCGATACAACTCCCCCACCTAATCCACCCATAATCACTGCGACTCCCCCACCCAAACCCATCCCACACTGCTGTAACTCTCCTAATTAGGCTTGGCAAAATCTAACACAATACGATTAATCGACACGAATCAATACAGATTAAGCGGGTTTGGGTGAGACCTTAACTGGTTCGGTTAATAAACGGGTTGACCTGTTAAGCACGTTTAATAAATGAGTTGTGTTCAGGTAAGACCTGTCAATTCGTCTATAACTTGTTTAAATAAAATTAATGTAATAATAAATTAATAATTATTTTAAAAAAATTAGCCAATTTTTTTTAGTGACAACCAGTCAGCCACACAAAAAATATATAAAGATATCTTTCCCTAATTTCAAAGTCCAAACCCTAATTCTTTCTACATTGTAGCCTTCAACGCCTCCAACTCTTCTACTCCTCTCTCTCTCTCTCTTGCTCGATAGCAACTCAGCGAGCAGTTGGTGTGGCCAAGCTGACGATGGAGACTTCGAGCAAAGACATCGAGAGGCTAAGTTTTTTTTTTCAATTTCTGTTGAATCCTTCCCATAGAACTTTCTGTTCAATTTCTGTTGAATTGAAGGAAAACTCCTCGGCCATGGAACTTTTGCCAAAGTCTACCATGCCAGAAACATCAAGACCAATGAAAGTGTAGCTATTAAAGTCATTGGTAAACATTTAGTATTGTGCCTATTGTTACATTTTCATATCACTAACTTAGTTGTGCAATATCTTTAAGGAAAAACTAAAGAAAAGATAAACATAGCCCTGCAATGTACCAATACCTATAAAATACCGAAGCTTAATATTCTAGTTCATTTTTTTCATCAAGAATAATGGCAATTTTTGTTGGACATAACTAGTACCAAACTTTCCATTCAACAGAAACTATTGATCAGTTATTGGAGGTGTAATCATATTTCTCAACGTTCTTATACCAGTGGTGTGGATTGTTTTTTTTTTTTGTTGAGACTATCGTAGTGATTCGCCGGTGACTTTAACTAGCTATTATAGCATAGTTATTACTATTGTTACTACTAGTAATTATTATTAATTTTTTTTTATAATTTGATCAACCAAATTAGTAGGGTTGGTGTATGGGCCAAGTTCAATAACTTATTAAGTTGCTACTATGATTTGTGAATCTAACTAAGAGATTTAGGCTCTATTTGGTTTTTGTACCACTTTCAACTTTCAAAGCATCACAGGAGACTCCAAAATTGGTACCTCCTGAATCAAATAACTTGTGAGATAGAAATTTTGTTCACCTAGATCAAAGTATCAAAGTTTACTTTTGCCAGAAACTGTCCACGCTTTAATTTGTACTAGAGATTGGATTCATGGGAAAAGCAGTAAATTTGATTCCATCTTTACTAGTATTATTTTTTTGATTATCCTAATTTATGTGATCATTGATTCATTTATGTTTTGTTGTGCTTAGTTGTAAATGATTCTAATGATGATTCGGAAGGGAAAATAGATGATGGTTTTTTCAATCAAAATATGAAGTCTAATAAAGTTAAATTCGTTTAATGTTCTAATTCTATATCTATCCTTAATCAAGACTAAAGAGAGGTATTGAAATATATAGCTTGTAATGTCAAGTGTTTGTTACTTATCTAGTTATGAGTCTATTTAATTATTAATGTTATATAATATTTTATTTTAATTTAAATATATGAGTCATGGATTCGAATTTTGATATACTAATATTTGGTCCAAGTGTAATTCAATTCAAATTATTTATATACATACATACATACAATATGAAATTAAACAACTATTTGATATGTTTTAACTTTACGGGATAATTTAAGTAATAACATGATAGACGGTAAATTCAAACGGTCTGAATTTGAATCTTAATAATTTTTTGGGATTAGCTTAAGAGAGATTTATTTTTAATAAATACTCTAATTCCATCGTAGATGACTTAATTTTGATCAAATCAAGAAGAAGATTAATCAACGTAAGCGTAAGTTAGTCGGACGCTCTCACCATTGAACCAATATTTTTTTGCCAAAACAAAATTATTTACCAACACAAAAAAAGTGATAGTAGAGTACCTGTTTCCTGGCTCTGGACCTGGCAGCAGACTCTCTATTCTTGATCATCCTTCGCTGCCTCCTCTCCACCACCTTCTCCACCGGCCCATCTATAATCCGCTTTCGCCCTCCCCTCATTCCGCCCATATCTAACCCATGCTGATTCGTCCCATCCGCACCAGCACACACCCCATCCGAGGACACTGGACTCACTGGAGATCCCATACCCAATCCCTGAACTTGCCCATACCCACCTCCACCGCCATTACGTACCATCCCACCATAACAGACCGCCGGTGACTGCTGTGGGTAGCCACCGCTCCTTTTCCCACTTCCAGCGTACCCTGACGCCTCTCCAACGCCACCCTGTGGTACGGCTTGGTACCCTGGAACATTAGCACCATCACTGCCGCCACCAACACCACCTAGGCCTATAATTGGCCTAGTCAGAAAACTAGATCCCACAACGGGGTTGTTACTATTTCGGAACAATCCGTAAGGCTGCTGTGGTGGCTGGGGAGGATTACCCTGTTCCTGAACCACCCCGGCTCGGATCAAGAAATCCTCCAGTGTCATCTCTCCAAATGTAGGCTGTCTATGGGTCGAGCCGGGATTTCGAACATTGGTATTGCTATTCTGCTGCTGTTCTTGTTGAGTCTTATGTATCTCAGACCACACCTCCTCCACTGTTTTCCGACACAACGGTGCTGGAAGAGTAAGAGAGCCTTGTCTTGACAACATTGGTTGCCTAGCAATGCCCTTCTCTATTGAAGCACTCCCGCCTAGTGAAAACTGGGAATTATGGTTGTTGGTGGTGGTGCCAAAGGTGGCGGTGGCGGTGGCTGTGGTGGCGGTGGCGTGGACTTGAGCCTGAGCTTGGTTTTCTTCGGCGGTCCAAATGCTATTGAGAAACTCGTCCATGTTCATTGAGCCAAAGTTCTTGCCACTCTCACTGAGGGTGTGCTGGAATTCGTCGAGAGTGAGAGTGTAAATCGATGACTGCCGACCAAGCAATGGGAAAGCATGATTCTTAGGTTGTTGTAGGTGGTCTGATTGAAGTGAAGATTCAACGTCTCCTTGGGATGTAATATCTGACTCTGTAACCACCATTTTCGGAATTCTGATGAAAGCCCCTATCCAAAAATGGACTAGTTTTAGTTTAGAGGTTGAAGAAAGAGCCCAAATGGACCTGTATCTACACCTGCAAATCAAGTTTAAGAGGCGGGAGAGAGAGAGAGAGAGAGAGGAAAATTCAGGAATCAATGATTTCATGTGTTGTCCATAGGATGAGTATAAAAACAAAAAACAATTTAAATGAACCAAGAAAAATTAGTTATATTGGAGTAATTCCAACAAAAAAACAACTTTCATGTTGATTGTGAAAAAGAAACACCAAATAGATTTAATAAAATAAAAAAGAATTAAATAAATATATTATTTTCCATATGGGGGCCTTTGATAACTTAAGAAATCCGACATCCAGCAACTCTCTGTCAATTGTCTACTCCGCTCTTTTACCTCTTAGGGCATAACATTTTTGAACTCTTCAAGAACTTCTACTATTTTATTGAATGAAAATATCAGATATCACCTTGAAAATGACACCCCCACTATTTTTTTTTTTCCATTTAGTGGCCCTATTGTCAGTTTAGATGTTTGGGCATACGTCTAATCAAACACCATTTCCTGAACTACTTTGCAGGTGGGTATGCAGAGCCACATAAAGTTTCCACTTTTGGCATACAGCTATGTTGTAGAAATAATTCAATGCTAACCGAATCAATAAAAAAAATTGGTGGCAAAAGCAATGTATGATACTCCTTGGAAAGTGCAGCAACACGTTGAAGTTAGGGAATTCTCCGGTTATCAAATTTTTTTTTTCCCAATACCAGTACTTTTGTATGATAAAAATTACAACGATTTAAGAGAAGTCATCATCGATTTTATAATTAATTATACTTTTTAAAATTAAACTTACATCTCAAAAAAAAAATTATAATTTTTGGTATGGTTAGAACTTCCCTAAACCTTGTTGGCTTGGTAAACTACAGATACCTTATATTTGGATTAAAACCTTCTGTAAATTAGTCATGGTTACTCAATAAACTCAATATTTTTTTCCACCTAAATCGATGTCTTCTAAATATAAAAGATTCGAATCGTAAAAACTATCCTACAATGTAGATAAGACTAATCTGACAGAAGAACACAAACATCTACTCAAATCAAATAACAAAAGTTATAATTTTTTATGGTCAAATTTGAATTGCAGCTAAAAATGTTAGGGTTAATCTCAAATATTTAAGATGAACTTCAAACAATCTCGTTACAAAATTGATAAAAATTACAATTTGATCAAAGAGATAGCTTGTAATAGAAATTATAATTTTATTAAAAAGATAACTCGTAAAAAAATAATTTTTCGGTGCCGTAATTTTAGGAGGAAAAGAAATAGAAGAAGAAAGCATACGAAAGCAAACTCATGAACAAGAAAATCCAATTGCATGCATATGATAGTGAAGAATATTTACACCTTTTTTTTTTCTACTTGGTTTTTACCAAGCTATGAGTCTTCAAAGCTCCAAACCCTCAACACTAATCAACAGAACAGCTCATAACAACTATCAGAGAGAGCTGAAACGACTGAACTCATATGAAGCTCTCTGCGTCAACTTATGAGCAGACACATACGCATTTAGAGAGAGAGAGAGAGAGAGAGAGAGAGAGAGAGAGGATGAGAGAGAGGTGTCTGAAATGTAGTAAACGATGTCGACTGCAGTAAGGAGTTGGTTCTAGCAATAGCCCAGACTTTCTCTGAGCAAATCTGTGTAGTGATGGTGTGGGTCCCACAAGGGTTTTTTTTTAATTTTTTGTGTCAAATGGACCCAAATTTAACACGGAATTGAAGTCCGGGCCCATGCTAAGAAGGAAAAGGTATGATGCATGGGCTCCTTGACACGTTTTAGCCAGGTGGCTCCACCACAATCGGTTTGCTTCCCTCTCTTCGCCCCCCAGTTTACACGTGTCTCTTTCCTTGTCTCTTTATTTGTGTACACACCCTGTTGGCATCATATGTTATAAACGAAATTATTACCGCTTTTTATTATCACCTTACTATTAAATTTTTCCTAACAGTAATATTACTAGACAATTTTTATTAGTATTAAGATAATATTTATTTATATTTAAATAATTAAAAAAGATAATTGAAAGTTTAAATTTTCAAATAATCTTAAAAAATGGTGAGAATAATGGACACCTTATGCGATGTACAAAATTTATTATCTCTTTCTACCATAATCTTACCATCAAACCATTCGTAACATAATATCACGGGACAATTTCTATTAGTGTTAAAATGATATTTATTTATATTTTAAATAATTAAAAAAGATGATTAAAAATTTAAAATTTTAAAAAAATGGTGGGAATGGTCACAAAAGAGTAAGACACATGTAACATTTTGATTGGAATTAACTAATTAAATATTTCAAAATTTTAGTAATTTAGGATTTAGGGTAGAAAACTTTCTCATGATTTCTCATCCCTAATTTGATTGTTTTATAGTACAGTAAGATATATAGATAGAACAAGGTATTTTTAATAAAACTCATTCAACAACTTCAAATAAACTTAATCAATAACCACCAACATTCCTCTTAAATTTTCACCCTGCCTGAAAGCGCGGGTTACCTTTAGTGTGTATATATAGAAATGACTTGAGATTTTCTCCAATGTATATGTTCTTAATTTTACTCAGAAATAAATCATTTAATAAACACTGATGAGAAATCCCTTTAATGCAGTGGGTCTGACTTATTTTTCTTTGATCAAATTTATATAACTCTAAATATACAATTTTTTTTTTTCCAGCAGTGGGACATCTCTAGTGGACTGAGAAAAATATAGCACACGCTACAAAAATAAAAGAGTACATAAATGCTAACTGCCTTAAAAATTACTCATTTCATTCCTAAATATCTGTCGTTTAAAGTTTTTATACAAAAATTAAAAAAGTTATTAAATAGTTCTAATATGAGCAAAAAAATAATTACACAAGACTAAAATACCCTTATTCAATGCGTATTGGAAAGGAAAGGAATATGAAAGGGATGTAGCCTACTCTTAATCTATTAAACACTTATTAAAAAACATAGATAAGGGTAAATTTGAAAAAAAAAATATTAATTATACTTTGATTTCATAAAACGACAAATATTGTGGAACAAAAAAAATTGCGTAAAACGACAGATATTTAGGAACGGAGGGAGTAACTGATATTATTGTCGTTGAATTAATAATTTATTATAATATAAAATATGATTATTCTTAATTCAATGATAACAACACTTTAGACCAACAAATTAAATTTAAATAATATGATTTTAGTGAAATTCATACTTTTCAATGGACTCCAATGATTTGTGTTGGGAACCGCTAGGGGTGATATAGTGGTCAAGTTAACCGTCTTGTAAAAAAAGATGTCTTAAATTCGATACTTCTCACAACTAGGGATGACAATTTTAACTCATTAACTCACTCAATCCATTCATAAATAAATGAATTGTGTACTTATATTAATTAATGCGCGTTCTAAATGAGTTGGGTAATATAATTTATTTTAATTAAGCGAGTTAAAATGAATTACAAATAGGTACCAATTGAGTTGAGTATTATCTTTCTGAATAAGATAAGTAATAAAATCAAACAAATATACTAATATACAAAAAACTCACATACCCCAAAAACACACACACTAATACACCCCCATCATGACCCACAACTCGACTCATGGGTCACTTAGGACCCACGGATCAACCCACAATCGACCCGTGACTAATATTGATGGGTTGACTCATACCCATGGGTCGATCAATGGTCCATAGTTGACCCAACCCATTATATGTGTATATTTTAGTTTTTTATTAAATATATTTATATCTTTTGTATGTTAGTATATGTGTGTGTGTGTGTGTTTGGGTATATTAGTGTGTGTTTTGGTGTATTAGTATGTGTCTATTAAGAATTTTAATTATTTTATGGGTTAATGGGTTTAACTCAACTCATTATAACCCATTTAATACATGACTGAAAAATGAATTAAATTTATTTTAACACAACTTAATTTAACTAGCCCATAACCAACTCAACCCACCCATTTGTCACCTCTACTCACAACCCTTAAGGGTCAATCACCCTTGTTTCTTAGGAGACATGTCCTTAAAGAAGCTCCAACTATGATGATCAGTCTTAGAGCTCAAGAGAATAGTCGGCACAAGTCTAGAGATATAGAACTTTACTGTTTTGTTAAGACATGCCCTCAGAATTATACTGCTTAATAGAAACGTCAATCAGAGAAGGTGCATCTGCATCACATATATGAAGGTTCTGATCATTACACTTGGTGTTATATCTTTAGGGATCATTTGTTTGCAGTATTAAGGGATTTATTAAAGAGTCATAATAAATTAAAATACTCTAATTAAATTTTATACTATAGTTGATTGCAAAAAATATATCGTATATGTAGTATTATTTTCAATGCTTATTTGTGTGATCCCAAATTTTTAGAAGTAGTTTAAGTATAAAATATTAGGATTTTTGATGTGAAAGTATAATGAATATTAAAGTTTTATGGTTGATATATATAATAAGTGAAATAAAAGGGAGCAAAGTATAAATACTTTAACTCTTATGATTCTTTGGTCTTCACCCACGCGAAGACTTGGAAAAAAAAAAAAGAGAGACAAGACAATGTAAAGAAAAAGAAAGAGAGAGAAAAAATGAAGAAATGTACGAAGTAAAGGGATTGCAATTAACATTGATTGGGAAAGATTTTTTCAACACTTGCTAATTAATTTGGCAGAAGATATTCCACCTTCATAGCATATAAAGATAGCTAAAAATAAAAGAAAGTGGAGGAGGTCTTGAAAGATAAACCGAGAGACAAAGAGAAGGAGTTGTCTGGCCGAAACAAATAAGAGAAAAATGAGAAGCAGAGAGCTAACCGAAAGTAAGAAGAATAAAACAGAAAGATGAGTTATCGAATTCAAATAATGATTCTGAAGTATGGAGTTGTATGTAATATGCTCTCCTTAAATCTCTTTACAAAGAGTATTTTTTTTGACTATCCTCTGATTTGTATTCCAACTTGTGCTATCGTTATTTTAGAATTTCAATTGAATATCGTTGAATATTTTTATCTCATCGATTGTGTTCTGCAGATATTAAGACGGGATCGTGGCAGCCAATAGCCGATGCATTGCCAGTCAAGAGACCTGCGAGATTGGGTAGAAGTGGGACGATTGGTGAGTTGTCAAATTTATGTTAAGATTCTGCATGACGTGTGATATGTAAATATGATATTTGTATTTGTTGATTAAGATACTTTGTGATACTCGATTATTTGGTATTTAATGTTATTGAGCATATTTTTCCTCGTCATATTGTATACTTCCCCGTTTTATTTAATATTTTCAGGATGATTTTAGAGAAAAAATCGGAACGAGATAATCAGAGTATTAAAAACGAGAAATGTCGACATAATTAATGTTTTATTCGTATTAGGAGATTTATTTATGGTGACAGATTTATTTGTATTAGGGTATGATTTTGATAAATGAAATTTTATTGAGACAATTAACACTCTGTTTTTTTTTTATTTAGGTGTTTTTATATCAATTAACGTCTCCGAGAAAAAGAAAAATTGGGGCATTACATTATTCAAATAATACACTTTATCCGTACTATTGAGTCGATTATAATACCTAAAGAGGTGGTATTATAGTCTAATTCATACAACTTAAGTTATAATTTACTTTTTTATCCACCAATTTCTTTTTGGTCAATATGTAATTAATACTAATACCTAAAGAGGTGGTATTATAGTCTAATTCATACAAATTAAGTTATAATTTACTTTTTTATCCACCAATTTCTTTTTGGTCAATATGTAATTAATACTCTATTATCCCACATTTATCAAGTATCTTACCAAACACTAAATTATAATAAATATTAATTTTATCTCATATTTAATCTTATATTTTATCTACTTATACAAAATTAACCAATATTAACTAATACAATCTTTTTTTTTTCTTTATTATACGACAACCACACGAGCTCTTAGATTAGCTTCCAGTTACTCAGAAAACTAAATGTTAAATGGTATCACAGCCTTTCAAAATTATGAAGAAAGCATCAAAGCATATAAGGAACTCTGGTTCCTTTACAAGAAGCAGCCATTGCTAGGAGAGAAGAAGCTGTTTACCAAGCTTCAGAGATGGAACTGGGATGGGTTATCATATAATCAGGTTATCGCAATCTCGTTTCTAAAGATTCAAGCAGAAGTACAGGCAGACTGGGAGATTCAGGGAGTTACCAAGGACATTCATTACACAATTAAGCAGATACAACAGACTGAATTTAGACATATCAGAACACAAGCCATCATGGCTTGCTCATTGGATACCTGCAAAAGCAACCAGTCCTTTTCGGAATTCATACATGTGAGTTGGAATTGGACCAGAATCAGAAATCATAAGATAAGAAGATCTCTCTTCCAGAAGACAATAGAGGATCTCAATCAACTGTAATCTTTTTTCAGAAACAGCTGCATTTCCAGCACCGACAACCCCCCACCCCAACAACATTCTTTCTTCCGCTCCTTTCATTCAATGGTAACCTGATGCTAGCAAACATAAGGACAACTGGACAATCAGGTTTCTCGAGTTTGAGTTCTTTCTGTTGGTGTCCAATGGAACAAATATTAGCCATCATTCCTGATCTGCCTTTATCAAAATAAGAAAGTAGGAAAGAAGTGTTGCACGACACAAGGAATCAGGACAACCCAGGGAAATTACCCATCCAAGTGCTAGCTGAAAAATTCCAATATCATCCGGTGCATTTGAGGGAATTACTCATTCTAGTGCTGACTGAAATTTTCCAATGTGATCCAGTGCATCTGTGCTAGTATAATAGTACTATAGTACCCAACTCAACATTTTCAAATTGCAGCCACCACCATCCCAAATAAATATCAGAAGAGTTAGAAACACAAACTCATGAGATATTTCGGGGAAAAAAAAAACATCCATTTTTCAAATCAACCATAAACCCATCATCTATCTGCTCACCCCCATTTTTACTGATCATGACACCAAAAATCAAAAAATTTTTTTTTTGATAGGAAACTGCACGATTTTATTAATATGAAAATATCTAAAGGAGAAAATGGGCGTGCTTGACTCCCATTTGATGTCCAATTTCCCTCAAATTAAGGCTCCATGAACATAAAATCAAGAAATCAATCTGAAAAACAAAAATTTAATGGATTACCAGTCTAGTGATGTTATAGACAACCACACTGCACATGGAAGATCATATAATCACAAAGTACGGGTATGCAGTGTAAATTCTCAGACAACAGACTGCAAAGAAGGAACGCTAATGTCTAGCACAAAACTAATTCCAGGTATTAATATGACTACAGAAATTCCAGAGGCAAAAATGCCAGACTAAAAGCTGCGAGATTGTAGAGTTTGGATATAAGACCAACAATTTAGTGCAAATAACGACAAAGGACAGCTTTGTATAAAGTCCACCTTTCCTAGCACCCGCAATTAAGGAACATATCCATTACAAAGTTGTAAACCCCAAAAATGAGTAGACAAACAATATGAACCGCAGAAATGCTAACCTCACAAAGCTCATGTGGTCTATGAAAGGTTATTTTCTGCATTTAAAAGTGCCCTCATGATTTTATAGGTCATTCCATTAGCAAATGGGAACATGTGACCAGCACCTGGGATCTCGTGATAGTGTATCCAAGGAAGCTGCTGGGAAATATAACGTTGCAGCATAACAGGCACAACCCCATCATCATCACCATGCCATAGATGGACAGAGCCTTCATTGTTTGGGAATGGGTTCTCCAGATCCATGGGATCAAATTCCCAGGTCCCAAAGCCAACCATCATGTCACGATGGAGGGACTCAAATTCTCCTTGCTGTCTTACCTGGGCCTAAGGCCCCAAGAAAAATAATATACAGAGTGAGAAACAGATGTTTCCAGTAGAGCAAAACAGAGTTCTCAAAGTAATTTAAGCACAACTCAATCAGAAGCTTAGTAGGTGTATGAGTGTTAGCTAAATTTTCCATCAAAAAACATGCAGATTTTGAAAAACTGAGCATTTTAATATGATGTAGATAAGCAAAACTAATTCATATGTCTCAGATTCAATCATTCTACCAATTGTTGAGCTGTAGCTAACGAAGCACATCCATTTAAAAAGGTGGATGATTTTTGGGTTCCAAAGTCTTTATTTGCTCTTAGGTTTCTACAAGAGTATGAAACAAAATCAAAACATTTATTCAGAAGTGTAGAACATAATAATAAGGGCAGAGAAGTAGAATTATCAGAGTCTATGAACGTCGATGAATCTTTTGCAGGTTAAGGTTCATGTATTATTATATTTGCATTAGTAACCATGGTTCAAAATATCGGTTGATACCGATACGAGTTGGCCGAGTGGATAGTATCTGACTCAGCACTTTTCGAGACGATACAGTTATATGATACGTATAAACCCCGAGTCTCGTACAACTTGATCAAGTCGTTTGAATTGTATCCGAGTTAATCTCAAATCGCCGAGTTGTTATCATCGAATCAGTTAATACGGTTCAGTAACGCCGCAATACAACCAGAATCTCTTGTTATATTCAACATTTTCTTTTTGGTCGTATTGCCCGATATCGCACCGCGACGCCACGACCGATGTCTCAAAACTCTCCGAGTCAATGACTGATACCGTGACCTCGAACCATGTTAGTAACCTCTGTTGCATGTCAAAGATCCATGATACTAGGTTAACTAACAAACTGCTTCTACAGTAGTACAAAGATGCCATTACTTATAACACCATATTTAGCCATTGACAACAAGAAGTAAACAATCATTGAATAATAAAATGGACCTATAATCTTAGCAGGTTTGCAATGATGTGATAGATGCTGGAGGACAAGACAACATGCAGAACAGTATCCTCCATTCTTAACCAACTACTAAAAGAAAAAGAGAAATTTTCATTAAGGTGGTTAGGGATGGCAAATTGGCAATGAAGAGGAACAAGGGCATAATAGAGAGCTGGGAAGAGATAAAGTCATTAAACTAGGAAAAAAAAACCCATTGAATAAAAAAGAAATTGAATAAAGACAAATGGAAATTCAAGCATTGCCAAGAACAGAAATATCCTAACGCAAACCCTTTTTTTTTTTAAATAAAAAACTAAAATCAATTGTGCCTGAAACACCTCAAGCAAAAATTGATTACAAATTTTTCAACTGAAAAAAAGAAAAAAATCCGAAATTAAGCAATAAATGTTTTGAGGTTTTAGAAAATTTCCAAAATGGACATGATGTGATTTTTCCAAGATTATACTAGTGTGGTCTTGCTGAACGCCACAATATTCATTCTCACTGTAAACATCATGCAAAGGGAATAACCAAAATTCACTTGCCCTACGTTCAGCATCAATTTGCTTCTCATTAAAAGAACTTGTTCTCATTAAGTTTAAAACAAATTAGATAAGGGTGGCAAGAACAATATATGTTGGAGGTTTCTTCGTATGATTTCTTTCCATGTGCATGTATTTCTTTCTTGGGGCGGAGGGGGAAGTAAAAGGGTTTCACAACGACGGGCTCCCAACCCTCTCTAGCACCCTGAAACAGTAAGTCCCACTCAATATAGGTTACAATCCTACTGGCGACGATGCATCAAGGTCACAAGAGGACCTGTTGGCGATGGGGCATTGCACAACATGACACAATGCTTCGCAAAAGAGGATGCATTTGGGCCAACTACAGAGGAGCCAATCTCTGACCCCTTGATACCAGGTATCCTTGTGGTGGCGACGTGATTCAAGACATCTGGGCAGAAGTGTCCACGTTTTTATAGTTTCTGGCTAATTATGTATCCCAAACACTCATTGCGTCACAGGATTTCACAAATCACTCTATGTTTCCCAGAGGCTTGTGGGATTTGGGGTGATGAAATACATGTTGCCAAAGCCGACATCCGCATGGTTCCAGCATAACTGGTGTAATGAAGATTCTCCGTTCATCGGATTTTGCAATTCACACCTAGTGTCAGTCATTACTGTCTCAGAAGATGGCACCACCTCCCACACACTATACAGGGCATCTGGAGACAAGCTTTAGGAGGGAAAACACATAAGGTTGGAGAACCAGTTGTGAATCCAGAACCAGTCTCAAAAGAATTATTCTTAACTTAACTTTGTCAGAATACATTGAGGTTATTTTATTCTTTTTGCGAGTGTTGTATGTGCTCAACAGAAAGGGAGAAAAACAATCTTCAGTGTTCTTCTGTACTGCATGCATGCTATCTGCAACTATTCTCATCAGAAAGCTTTGTCAGAGAAACTAGAGATGGCAGGTTTTTGGTGTTTTCCTAAGAACAGTGAATTATGATATTGGAAGAAACTTTCCATGCCATTGCGAGCAAAGTCAGATTGGAACATCTTATAACTGGGAGAAATCACTAAAAGATATCCAGAAGTCCAATTCACATCGCATAACATGCCGTTGCTTTGGAAGTGACAAACACTACACCAATATGCCAAACAAAGAACCTAACACAAATCATTAATATTCATTTGAAGCCTCTTTTTAAAATTGGTCAAAACTGTACATGCAAGACCAACTTCTTGGTCCTGGCACCTGGCAGTCGAGTAATAAACCATTTCCCATGCGTCAATAATGTTGGCCGCTAATATCTCTCCTCACAAAACCAACTTCCTCTGACACGACTCCACCCAAAAGACACCAATTAAATTGGAACAAAATAACCCACCAGTTAAAAAAAAAAAAAAAACTAACCAACCCAGAGGTGATGCAAATGCATGAAAGATTTTTTATGCCTGAAAATGTATCCATTTCATTCAGGTATTTAAATTGACTAGAAAAGTCACGGTCCTACTTAAAGTGTCCAACCTTTTGTTTTACTTTTCTGATTGACACTCTCACACTAAAAGATTGCCTGTTCAGAGGGCATCCAACAAGCATTCAATTAATTCAAATTGATTATCCAGATGCTTAGGAGGACAGGTTACAGCTAACAAGTTGAGCACTTCTCACTGGCCCGATTGTTAGTCTCCCCTCCTGAGAAAGGATGGAGCAAGTATCTGTATACAAGGAAACACACATACACCCGAAAAAGAAAGGAGGAGGAGAAGAAAAAACATAATTTAGTAAACCAAGGACTGGGGCAAACACCAAGTACTCATGAATCACTGCAAAAGTCTTTTCAGCTCATCTAACTTGGTACTTTCCTTCTCCATATGTGTGAACTATGAAACAATATATTACTACCTTCAGTTCTGAAAAAGATCTTTTGACATCTAGCCTTTATTATGGTTTCAGGGATGCGGGTAAATTGTTTAATGAGGATGTAATGATAGAGCAAGGAATCACAGAATAGTTGGTATAGGGAGCAGCAACAGCATTGAGACTCTGAACAAAGAAAGCTCCTAACCTCATTTATTCACCATCACCAATAGTTCTAACAGTTTCTCCTATTTTTGGATGTGTTTTAAACACTAGATTACTACCTCTGGCATAAAAGTTAGGCCCATGAAAATAAACTCCTTCCAAGTGTTAAACATTAGATAATGGCTAATCAGACAGGCAGTGCTACAAGCATTTCACCTGTATGCCCAAAGTTGATAAATCATCAACTACTAACACATCAATGCATGACAGAGAGCAAAGTACCGCAAGAATTTAACGTCTCACTTCATCCAATTAAGATCGGAATAGATTCCTTGAACTATAAACGTCAACTGCTATCTATTAAAACCCGTAAATGACATCCACTATCTTTTTCCATGTAATACCTGATTTAGTACCAGAAATATATGCAGAAAAAAAGTTCTAAATAAGTACCTCATACTCCTTTCTCATTGAAACACTGTGGGGAATGAGTTCTCTGTCTTGGTGAGAAGAAGGAAACCATTTCTGTGTGTTCCACCAGTAAGTAAGCCACGGGATGTAGTGAGCAACACGAAGAGTCCACTGATCTTGCACAGGCTGCTGATTGTATGCTTCTGTAGATAAGTTCACAGGAAAACCCGGCCACCAATAGTTGACAACTGGAGCTAAAAGGGATGCTCCTGCTAGCCTGTTGGCATTATAAATATCCCATTTGAAATGGATGAAAGCAAGAAGGACAACATTGAAAGAAATGCACCAATAACAACCAGTTTCTAAAAGAAAAGAGTTAAAGGGGAAAGGAAATGCTAATTGTGTGTTAATCACAGACTAGAGTCAAAACGTGAGCTGACTTCTTGTGTGGTCCCTCTTGGGTGGTCAGTCCACATGATTGTGTTGTGCATTAAGGTGAATTCTTGTCAACATTGTTTGATCTCAAGAACTATAAACTTTGCTAAAATGCTAAATCAATCAACCCGAAATCAATAGACTATGAATAAGAGACTCCAAGGCCAACGTTTTAGTATGGGATGCATTGAAAGAAGCTCTAATCCTCTCTCAAATGTGCGAATCCTCTCTCAAATGTGCGACCCCGTTTCCAACTAGAAAACAGAACTAGAAGTATAATTAGGTGCACTGATGGCACAACCAAAGGGGGGAACCAATACTAAGTTGCTGAAATTAAATTGAAAAATGGTCCAAAAAATAGAAGCTCAGTTATGATGGCATATTAATCATCAATCATACTAAAATCTTAAGCTGACGAAGGAGGACATAACATAGGAAATGTATCTTAATACCGTTTTCAACCTATCTCTTTCCCTCCCTCCATCTTCGATATAACATTATCCACTCATACCTGTGAGGAATGTACTTGAGGCAGGTCCAGATCAACTGTCCACCCAAGGAAAATCCAACTACATAGAACTTGGATCCTAGTCCCAACTGATCAGCAAGCTCTTCTATATCCAAAGCCAAGCTTTTTATTGTTTGTTTTGGGTTAGGATCACTCTCTCCATAACCAGGTCTGTCAAATGAGACAATGTAGACACCTAGATCTTCCACAACATCCTGTAAAAGGGGGCCGTCAATCCAAGCTACAGAAACTCCAGTTAAATGCAAGGCCCAAAAAAACTAAAAAGGAAAAAGCCAAAGCAAAGGAAATAAAAATACCGAGGAGAGGGTTGTGGCAACATCATGTCTGCAACAATCAAAGCCATGGACAAACACTGCTTTATACTTGGCTTTGTTCTTTGAAGTCCCATACTCTTTGTAGGCCAAAAATCTTCCATCACTTAGTTTCACTCGAGATGCTGTAACAGGGGGACCATCCGGAGAACCACATTTCCTGGGTGGAGGTGGTTGAGTTGCCCGATAGGCCCATGCCAGAAACCCAATAAAGAAGACCACTAGTATTTTCTTAACAATTCCTGAAAAATTTTCAGTTCTCATTATAACACACTCCACAAGCTAGATAATAATAAGCATTTCATACCAATCCTGGGTAGGGGACAATTCTATTATTTGAGCATATGTAATTTACAGTATCTCAACTTAATTACAAGAAGCTTTATGTGCTAACAGTTAAGAGACAGCAGGAACTATCAGCAAATCTCTAAAATCATTCAGCCAAGAAACCTTCCTTCCTATTCCATACAAAAACCCATATACCAAATTGCTTAAGCTATTCTATTTGAATCAAGAATAATCTTGAACCCTGATTTGATGAAAACAAATCACCTTTCATATCAAACACAAGCTGTTAGGAAATTATACACAATTGACTTAATGTATACAGTTACTACAGGAAAGTAAACTGCAAATTCAAATGTGAGACACATATACAATGTCAGGCCTGACATCAAAACGCAATATAGCTCATTCCACCAACATTCTCTCTTCCTTACAAATGGCAAAAAATTACAAGAAAATTTTTCCCTTTGCTTCGCACTGGCATTCTATTTAAATCTCATTTACCCTTTTGTTCAAAGTGCCAAATAATAAATCAAAAATCTGTTGGCATCCAACACAAGAACATAATTTATTGGCTCTGTATACAGTAACAGTTTCGGAAAAACTAAATAGGGCTGTCATTAGTGGACTGTATTTGCAATTTCAACATGATCTAGATTCAACGAATATAAACACATAGAAACGTTTATATTGGCTCCTGCTAGTAGGGCTAGACTATTGGGCCACTGAGGAATTGCTCCCTCTCTCACACACACAGAGACACATAAATATTTCGATCGAATGATCCTAGAAGCGAAGAAAACCCACCTGAAGGAAGAGGAAAAGAAGTCTTCTGCTTTGATTTTCTGGTGTGAGACCTCGCTGATGCAGCTGATATCTTCCTATTCACTCCTGCTGCCATCTTTCTTCAATACCCAGTTCTTTTACCACACACTTAAATAACACCCAGGACCTATATGACCCAAATTCTCTGATACATCACAGAGAGAGAGAGAGAGAGAGAGAGAGAGAGAGAGAGATCTGGATGGATGTCTAGTTAAAACAGAGAGGACGGGAGGGTTGGAAGTCCACGGTTTAGTAATTCTGAAAAGATTATGCATTATATTATTGCCGGGGTTGGTAATATGTCATTGTATCCAGATTCACAATTTTTAGATTAATTTCTCGGACGTGAATGAATAAACCTTATTAAGAAAAAAAAATTATTATATAAACAAACAAAATGCCAAGGTACCAAAAGGAAAAAAAAAATTGTTACTAGACCGCTAAATTTTAAAAGTATTGTGAGTTTTTAGATTTATTTCCAACAAAAACAAAATTAGAAATTAAGATTGATGCTTTATTACAACTTTTAAGGTTCAAGTTATAATTTTTTAAATGTCTGAGTTATACTTTTTTGAAGTACTTGTAATCAATCTTAAGTAGTGGTGTTAATTGTGTCGTATTCGTGTGATCCACATGTCGTGTTATTCGTGTTGTGTCAATATTATTCGTGTCGTATTCGTGTCAAGACCTATAAAAAAAAATTATTTAGTGTGTTTTGAGTGTTAAATATTAGTTTAAGTTAATTATTATGTGTATTTAATAATTGTGTCAATTTTATAATCACTTATGTCAGGTTCGTGTCGAATTCGTATCAATAGGTTAGATCTGACACCCCTAATCTTAAGTATCCTAAAAGTTATAAGTGAATCTAAATATTCGTAAAAAAAAACCCACAAAACTTGTACAAAATGGTATAATATCAAATTTTTTTGTTTTGGTTCAATAATCAAGAATGTTTGAGGTAGCTTACATATACTTCAACTAATCATTTCTCCGATCTAGTTAAAGAAATATCATCTATGTGAGAATTAAAATATTTGTAATAAATATATCAATCATGGTCTAACTGACTCTAAGGACGGTACAAAATATTTTTTAGTACTTTAGTCGTCTTCTTCTCTCTCTCTTGATGTGAGATGTTAAACATAAAATTATTGGGTTGTATAATTTTTTTTTATAAACAAAATATTAATAAGTCATACATTTTGTTGGTTTCTTAAAGAAGCCATACAAAGGAACGTATAAAAGCAAATAGATTGATCTTTGTAGCTTATTGTCAGCTAATAGAACCAATGGATTTTTAATCCAATGGTACTCCTTATTTTATAAATGTTTTGTCTTCTTGAGGTCAAGGGTTCAAATTCCCTTTTCTCTTCTAAAAAAAAAAAAAAAAAAAAGCTAATAGAGTGAGTTAATCACTTATGAAATTGGATTTATAGAACAATAAGAATGAAGAGAGGAGGATCATTCTGCACAACAATGTAACTAAAGAGTAGGATTCATTCTTGATACTTTATTAAGTTCTCGTATTGTACCCTTTTAAAAATAAAATAAAAAAAGGTTGAAGGGAGTCACTAATGTGACTGGTTAGACCCAAGACCCAACTTCGAATTGTGCATGAGGATGAGTAGCCTCCTAATCACTCGGACAAAAATTGACTACGTGACTAGTTCATGGGAATATGTGCTCCTAATCAAAGTCGTACGAATAAATCTTTCAACACCACATATCCATTTAAAGGATTAAAATTTTGTTTTAAAATGACCAAAATTTTGTTTGGTAATTGTTTTATTTTTTATTTTTTTGTTTTTGTTTTTCAATTTTCCCAAAAAAATAAAAATAAAAATAAGAACGCGTTTGGTGTTGTGTTTTTATTTTATTTTTTTTCAACTAATTTGTTTTGAAAACAAATCCCAAATCTACAAATAAAAAATTAATTCTTTTTAAAAACACCCAAAATCAAAAACATGCACGTAGAAATTTTAATGAAGTCCACCCTTTAATTCTCATTAGCAACAAAATTGCTATTTTTTTGTTGGAACATGAGTCCCATGATTTTGCCTCACAAGCTGTCACCCCCATTCTGAACAACCAATTTGGTATCTTAAAGATATAAGTATAATTTGACGTGTGGTAATACATGCGCCAATAATGCAAAAAAGCATTTAAAACCAATAATACCATCTAATGATCTCGTAAAAGAGATAAAATATACAACTCTATGGCAGAGTACAAAACTCTGTAACTTAATACAACACGAAGCATTAGATAATTCATCACATACATCAACAACGAAACGAACACTCTTGTACAATATGTACACAATCAGTTTCTTTAACCTCTCATCTCGACTCTGCTAGTGCTGTAATGAGTTTCCCATCTAACCTTTGGTATCTTCCTTTGTTTGCTGGCACTTTGCTGGGATGTTCTCCGAGCTTGTGATTCTGAACTATTGGAGCGTCTGCTGGTTTACAATCCAACATTCCAACTTCACATAGTAAATCCAATATATATTTTTGCTGGGAAAGAAATATACCTTGTTTTGATATAGCAACCTCTATTCCCAAGAAATATTTAAGTCCTCCCAAATTCTTCATCTTAAACTCTATTGCCAATTGTTTCTGTTGGAAATATAGCAATCTAGTTTATTAAGTTTTTTTTTTTTACCCTTTTATCCTTATTGTAACTTTCATTGGCTATATATATGGGGGCTCTACACTTAGTTTGTATCTCTTTGACTCACACATATTCATCTTCTTGGTATTAGAGCCAAACCCTACCTCTAACTCTAACCCTAACCTCCATCATAATCAAGCCACCGCTATAACCACCTAGCTGCCACCGCCACTGCTAACCAACAGCAACCCAGCCACTGCCACAGGCCAGTCATCTTGTTGCCTCACTGCCCAGCAACCTTCTCCATAACTACCAGCCAAGACCCAACAGCCCACTACCCAATAACCTTCTCCACCGACTGTAATATATACCAGAGCCATCACCGACATACCAGCGACATCACCAGCCTTTAGCCTACTGGCAATACCCCACAAAATCAAACCCCAGCACCGACAATCAATAAAAAAAAACCCCTTCTCCACCAACTGCAACATATACCACAGCCGTCACCGACTGTTGCAACATATACCAAAGCCATCTCCGACTACAACATATACCATAAACCCATAAACCTAGTACCCATAAAAAATAATACCCATAAACCCAGTACCCGTAAAACCCAAAACCCAGCAACACTGACTGACCCAAAAACAAACTAGCGACCCACTAACCAACCCAGCGACCTACCTACTGTCCAATCCAACAACGAACCCAATCCAACCCCAAACTCCAAACCCAACACAGTACTCACTCTAGTGAACAAACCCACTGCTGGGACGCGTTCTTCATCACAGTTTCGTGTTTTGTCTTTATACGCTTGATTATTTGGGATTGTAGGACTTTTTAAGAGGGGTTGAATCCTCTTCTCCGTTGATATGCTCTTGATGCAGTAGATCATTTATTTATATTTGTTGGATTTCTAAGCACCGTGACCTAATTATTTGGGAGCTTTCTAGACCTTCTTTATCTGTCGCTACAGTTCGACTTGAGGTATATTATTCTCCCTTATTTTATCCCTCTATTTATCTTAGAGTTATTTTTCTGTCACGAGTGTCCTAGTATTGTTATTGATATGACTACTACTCAAGGACTTGAGACCCTTACTATTGACACCTCTACCGTTAAGACATCTATTGGTACTTTCACTTTTATATTTGACTAGTATACAGTACCTACTGGTACAGTTACATTACCAGCACTGTCGGGTATGATCTCTTAGAAAGTTATGACACAATTGTTGAATGGTCGTAACTTCGCTGAGTGGTTTTACTTATTCCAGCTTTTCTTAGGCCGTGTAAAGAAGCTTGGTTGGCTGACGGGATCTCACCCAAAGCCAGCTGATGCTGACCTTGGATATTCTGCATGGTTCTCTGAGAACTGTGCTATTCTTAGATGGTTATTTGGCTTGATGGAGCCATCTGTTTGCAGGATTCACTAGTTTCATAGATTTGTTCCGAAGCTATGGAGCGCATTATCAGAGATGTATTCCCAATCAGGGCGGAGAGTACGTGTTTATGAGCTTTCTCAGGAGCTCTCATATGTTTGATAGGGAGATATGAACGTTCAGGATTATTATAGTTATTTGACCCAGCGTTGGCTTTAGTATGAGACTCTACGTCCTCTTAATGCTATTCCCCAGATAGAGCCCAAGGGAGCAGCATTCTTGCATACTTGAGAGCAGGAGGATAGGATTCATAATTTCTTTATGGGGCTTCGTGATGAGTTTGAGGGACCTCGTTCCTAGTTTTTATCAATGTTGATGCTTCCTTCTCTTTATGAGGTATATGCGATGATTGAGCAGCATGAGCGCTGCGTCTATATTGCATCACTTCTAGTTGTGGCCTTAACTCCTTCGGCTGATCATATGACCCTTGCAGCTGCTGCAGGGTCTCGTTCAGGATCCTCAGTCAGGGGTGGGCAGCGCTCGGACCAGCGCTGTCAGGGTGGCCCAGATCAGCGCAGACAGGGAGATTCTCATTAGTGTGATTATTGTGGCCGACCAGGACATCTCAAGGCTGCTTGCTGGAAGCTCCATCCAGAGCTTAAGTTGCCTCCTTGTAGTCGTACTGCTGCTATTGTTGAGGTACCACCACCTATTACTGCTACTTCTGCTACTGCTCCTCCTTGGTAGAGCGATATGCATGCTATCACTTCCTGATTGGATATACTTATGTCTGTTCTGACTTCTTAGAGTTCAACTACTACTACTATCACCACTACAGGTATACACCGTACCTTTCATACTTGTGCCAGTCCGTCTCCCCTTTGGATGTTGGACTCGGGTGCGAATAGTCATATGACAGGTGAGGCCCATCACTTCACCACTTTTGACAAACAGTTACTTATACAAGTTTAGTTAGCAGATAGGACACATGCCCCTATTGTTAGTAGGGGTACAATCCACCTCCCAGATGACTTTATATTACGTTCAATTTTTTATACGCCAAAGTTGGCCATAAA